AAAAGAAATCTATAATTTTTTAAATTTTTGTTGATTTTTACAAGTTGATGAAAATGCATATTTTTTTGAAAAATAACAATTTATTTGGATTCTACGCATAATTTTTGATAACTTTGCATATAGAAACTTTTTTCCTAAGTCCAGCCGTTCTCAAGTTAATGCAAATTAAAAAAAATATAATTATAACAATTTTCAACATTATTGGCCATTTTCAAATGTTTGTCGAGATGTCCAGCAACGAGATTTTATTTCATGATTGTATATTAAAAAACAAACAATTCATTCTCAGATATGGTAGCTGTCAGACTTACCCGTTTCTATCTAGAGGCAGCGGAAGAGAAGCACGTTGATATGGTCAAATGAAAGATTTGTTGAGATAAAAAACAGTATATATTTATTATTTTATTTTACAACTCATATTATTTGAATACATTGAATAATTTGGGTGTATCGTTTGAATTAGAGAATATTTTTACTGAAATTTGGTTGTTTGAAACTGGAATATAGCAATGATATTTTCGAGTTCCAGGAATTGGTTTCACTTTCTTAAAAATTGGATCAAATTCCGTGTCAGCCTTTTTGTATTCTTCCGTAGAAACATAACAAAATGACATTTTTGTTTGAAGATCTTCTTTACGACTATTTGCCCAGTCGTACAGTTGTTAAGGGTTCGTTATAGGGTGCTCGTGTTGCTTAGCTAAACTTGCTCTGGTTGCCATTCTCTTAAGGGTACCGCCAATCGCATAACAATGACCTTTGCCGTGTGAAGTTGCAAAAAAATGCCATTCAATTTCTACATTATGCTTATCTTTAAATCCACAAATGCTAGCAAAATTTTTTATGTTTTTGTATTGTGATGCTGCTCCATCTGACATAAAAATACACTTTTGGACTGTTATTTGCAACTTTAAAAATTCTAATAATTTTGAGATAAACAACTGAACTGCTACTGTGTCATGCTTTGAAATTGATTTAGGTGGAGGTTTACAACACTTGAAATTGTTATCCATCGTAAAAAACTACTTGCTTTTTAACTTGAAACGCTAAGAGAGATGAACTGAATGGAACAGGTGAAGATCGTCCCAATATATATATATATGTAGCAGAATAATTACAATGTTGACATTATACCTATCTTCATTAGGTACAATTGATTATAGCAAACTTTTTTAAGTGTGAGTGTAAGAAGCCTCCACGGAGTGCCTTTTTATGTAGTTGTGATATCGCGGGATGAGCTCTTAAGGCACAATATGGTATACGTCAGAGAAGTACCTAGAGAATTTATCTCAATTACAGGTTTAATAACATATTTGTTTACCTGTTTATGTTTTGAGCCTCTGTTATGACATACACAATTCTATCCAGGTATACAACTAATAGAGGACAGAAAAAAGGCACATGAGTGGGTTTGTTGATTATTTGGGTATATTTGAGAGTATTTACTTATCAACTTGTTTCTTTTCCGCTGCGTCTAAATAGAAACGGGTAAGTCTGACAGCTACCATATTTGAGAATGAATTGTCTGTTTTTTAATATATATTCATGGAAAAACATCTCGTTGCTGGACATCACGACTAACATTTGAAAATGGCCCAAAATGTAGAAAATTATTATAATTATTTTTTTTAATTGCACTAACTTGAGAACGGCTGGATTTAGAAAAAAAGTTTCTATGTGCAATGTTTTTAAAAATTATGCGTAGAATCCAAATAAATTACTATTTTACTAAAAAATATGCAATTTCACCAACTTGTAAAAACCAACAAAAATTTCAAAAATTATAAATTTTTTTTTAAGGAAGTTACCAGTATACAATCTTCACCAAATATTAGGGCATTTTTTCAGTTTTCTTGAAAAAAAAAATTATAAAGATCGAAGGGGGGGTGTTTTGAGATAATCATCGTTTTACGTTTTTTAGATACTAATTTACTAAGTTTTTCTTTTAGTGTATTTTTTTCCGCAAAGATAATTTAACTACCTAAAACTTCTTCTCAAATGTCATTTTGATCAGATCAATAGTTTTCAAGTTATGATTTTTTGAAAAAAAAATAATCCATTTTTTTATACGCCCTTTTCAAAAGTTACTCTGGAGGAAAAAATCATATTTAAATGAAAAATGCAACCATTAGTAGCAGCGAACACGTGAGAAATGTTTCATTCAAATCGGAAACACTCATGACCAACCGGTTTGCGTTTTGGGCTGGAAATGCTCACATTCCCTAATTGGCCTACATTTGGACGCGGCCAGCGCTGTTATTACCTATCGTAAAGTATGAGATCACCAGAGTTTACACATTACAGATGCATGATAGTCCCAAGCATCGTTTGTGGCTTCTCTGTGTAATACAGGTGATCTGGTAATAACGGAGTAGCAACCGCGAGTGGTTAGTCATTCTCATGCTAAATTATGTCGATTCTATCCGAAGTGATTCAGTACTTTCAGAAGAGATTTCCAACTTTTGTTAAATGATTCTGAACACCCCAAAGTGATTCCGATTTTTCTTAAGTGATTCCAAACTTTTCTGAAGTTATTCATTTATTACAGAGTGATTCAGTACTTGAGGAAGTGATTGCAAACTTGAGAGAATTGATACAGTACTTTCCATAGTTTTGTAAGGTGATTAAGTTCTTTCCAAAATTATTCAGTTCTTACGGAAGCGATTTCAAACATTCAGGTAAAATTAAATATTTTCCAAAGAGATTAAGAAATTTTGATTCTTCTTCTTTCCTTTATTTAACGTCAGTCCCTGTTCCGCAATCTAGTGCCAATCACCGACGGACATCGATTGCCATCCATTGACGGCAATCGAATGTGCAGGAAGGCAGCTTCCACCCCTGCGCAGGATATTCCCTTCCGAAAGACGTGACCAGAGATTTTTATGCCTCAAAAAAATCCCACCGACCTCGGCTGAGATTGAACCCAGACCCATTGGGGTGAGAAAGCAGTCACGCTTACCACTACACCCCCAGCGCCGGCTTCCATAAGTCATACATCCAATTATTATTAATTATTCAATTTTCATGAGTCATTTATCCGAAGAATTTTCGAGGTTTTCTGAAGTGAATCAGTGCTTTCAAAAGTGATTTAAGACTTTTCAGTTCTTTCCAAAGCTATTCAGTTTTTTCGGAAGTGATTACGAATTATCTGGAATGATTAAGTAGTTTCCGAAGTGATTATGAACATTCCGAAGTGATTCCAAACTGTATTGAAGTGAATAAGTACTTTTAGAAGTGATTTCGAACTATTCAGTGCATTCCTAACTGATTTAATTATTTTCAAAGTGATTCCTTTCTTTCGGAAATGATTACAAACTTTCTGGGATGATTCAGTACTTTCCAATGTGAATACGAAATTTTTTGAAGTGCTTCATTACCATCCGAAGCGATTCCAAGCTTTTCTGAAGTGATCCATTACGGTCTGAACATAATTTATTTCTAAATGAATTCAATCATCACACTAACTGACTATTATAAGTGATATGTCATAGCAATATAGCTTATGTAACGTAATATCAACTGTTGACTCTGTACAAACTTTCCTATGATCCGTTGTATTTGAAACATTTTTGTGCCATTTAAAACAATGATAGATCGATTCAATAGCTCGATTCAAAAAGATCCATTCAAAATTATTGATTAAATCAGTAAATCGATTATTTTGAAAAAAATTACTCGATTCACCAAGATCGATTCTTGCGTCAAAATCGCCCAATGCTGGTAACGGTACGCAATGCGTACTACGCATGCAAAGTTAAATAAATTTGGAAGTCATCTATAGTAGAAACATTCCATTTTGTGTTAAAATCCGCTGGAAAAAGAGAGCTAAATTGCGGGTTGTGCCCAAAATTGGTATGTCCTTTTGAAAATTCAGTCTTGAAATACCTTCCATTTACAAAGATCCTTTTTCCTTAATGGTCGCGGTTCTAACCAAGACGCTCATTTCCCCCATTTGTTTGTCTCAGCTTTCAGCTTCGGAGACTAGACCTGGTGCCACATTATGTAACCAAGACGAAACGACTTTACTCCCGCAAGCGTTCGTACGAAAATCACTTCGTTTTGGCTTCCACGATGAGGCCCCTGATCCTGGAGGTGGGATGCACGGCAATGGACGCCTCGTCGGCAACGAATCCAGAAGCCATTCAACAACACAATCAAACCAGCGCACATCTTCGTTCTGTTGTCACACCGTCCTATAGGGCTGTCAGTTTCGGTGCTGTTTCCGCATGACGGATGTAGGAAGGCAACGCGAGAATGCGGAGAAAATTTCTCATGCAGGACCTCCGGTAGGAGAAAGAAAAACAAGGCGAAATGTAATTTCACTGATAACATTTTTGGATGTTTAGTGTGCTCGTTTCGCTGTTGGCGTTGAACTTGAAGGATGACGATTCCCGGGGGGATGCGCGCCGGCAACAGGAAACCGACAATGTGGTGTAATTTTTCATTTATTAAATTGCAATTATCTACCAGTGAAAGTGGCTTCGCTTTGAATCCGGATCATTTTTATCAGATCAACTGTATTTAATTAATTCAAAATTTGAATTTAATTTGAAAACTCATTTCAAAGTGCTTATTTTTGAGAAAGGTTGCAATGGAAACAAAATCTTGAGATATCTCGGGTCAACCCTATCCAATTCAATGGGAACAAGTAATACGAAATTAGATAAGATAAAACAATGAGTGATAGCTTCCAATTAGCCACAGATTACAAAGGAAGGCCCATCAAGGCTAAAGGAAACGAAACATGACAAAATGCCTGCATAACTCCTCTGAAACTAATTAGAAATTTCAAACCAACAAGAATTCGTTCTCCCTTCCCGAAATATTAAAAACAAAAAAATAGGTACATTCGCGATCGCTTATCACTAGCGTCCAAATGGGAACCCTCGTCCTGGGAAATTTCCATTCGTGGCGCAAAAAGCAATAAATTACATCACCGGAACCATTTCAATTTGTACATCAACAGTGGAAAAAAATCATTCTTATCTGGTTCTTGGACTTACCTTGGACTGACTAGTTTCTGCAAATTGCTTCGCAAATGGCCATTCCCCACCGCAAACCACCACCCTCTACGTACGTGACTCGTATGCTTACGATGGTCAAATTAAGCAATCTGATTTTTTTTTTCTTCTGTTCGCGGTCCTCTTACCTGGAATGAAATTAGCCGAAAAGAAAGAAAGGAAAAAAAATGAGTAAGTAAAGAAAAGTGTGAACCGCGCGCGGTGGGGGAGGGAAAAAGTTTCTAATGAATTGCTATCATTATGCGGGCGAAATTATGATTTCGTGAGAAGAACCCGAATCGAGGTACGAACGAGCTTGTACTTAAATTTAAGTGAAATGTTTGGCGATTTTTGTCGTCCAGTTGAATGTTGGATGGAAAGGGAGAGAAAGAGAGAGAGCACTGAGAAAAAAAAACTGACGACGGTGCTTTCGGTGGAAATCAAATGCGAAGAAGAAGGAAGATCACGAAATGAGACTTTTTTTTTGTGGGTTGGAAGGGAGGGGGAATATTGGACTGCGTTTTATTTTGATTAATGCGTGGGACGGTGGCTCAGTTGTTGCTTTGCATTTTTCTTCACTCCATTTTTCTTTTTCATTTACAAAGCAGGTCAGTGGAAGTTTATATTTTAAGCCGGTATTATCTCGATGGCCGCGCGAAGGAAATTTATGGAAATCGCTGCGGTGGATTTCATTTCGAAGTTTTTTGTTGAATTTGGAAAAAGGATAGCGATCCGAGTGATTGCGATGAGTTTTAGTTAAGGAACTTGGTAATCACGGCCATTAAAACTTTTTTTGGAATACCGAAAGGATAGAGGGACAGTGAGAAATATGGAATGGATGGCAGGTTGAAGTAGGTTTATATCTTGATTGCTAAAGGCACCTACAGTGGTGGCCTTTAAGGGGGGAGTACACTTTGATTTTTCAAAAAGATGCATTTTTTTTTTGGCTTCCTTGGGATGTATACTTTAATTTAGAAAAGACTCCAAGTCCGCCAGAATATTCCTTACCGCTTTACGAAGCGATTTCCTAAAACATGTACCGGCGCGCTGAGAGAGCGTTTTTATCTTTAAACGCGTTCATCTCGAAACGGGGTTTTTCAAACTGGCGTGGGAAATAACTCTAACCAGTTATCATCACATTTGGATATCGCCTAGGTTTTCTTGTTCAAAATTAAATTCTGCTTAGAAATACGTATCCACATTTTCGATTTTGTCAAAAATGGATTTTTAATCCACGATTTTGTAAGCATTTTTAGGGTGAAAAAATGGACTTTTTTCCTAAGGCCACAACTTTTGAAAAAAATAATTTTCCCGCGCGACCTGGTGCACCGGCCACGGCGAGACGCCAATTGAGTTCAAAAAAATACAAATTGTAGTTCGAAAGATGACTAATAAATGGGTTATAACATATTTGCCCTCCCTGAGTGTTTTATTGCTTAAAAAAATTAACGAAAATGGTTTACGTTTTGGACGTTCAAAGTGTACTACCCCCTTAAATTAGCACAATAGGCCGATTTTCATACAAACTAGCCAACTTTGGCATATTGCAACTATGTTTTGTTATGATCAATTGAGCTGAAATTTTGACACAGAACTACAACTATGCTGAATTTCCCGTGTACAAATGGCCGACTTATTAGCACATTTATAATTCGAAATTTCCGACGTGTTATAGTTTTAAAATTTTCAACCATATTGCCAGTAAACGACAGCGTGCTTAAGAAAAGTATTTACAATATGGTGAATAATTTCCGAAATAATAGACTTCGGCAATTTTGAATTACAGGACTGGTAGCGATCAATGCTGTCAAAAATAGTGATTTTAGTGACCATGTTGAAGAAATAAGTGACCAAATAGTGACTAATAGTTGTTAAAAAGTGACTAAAAAGTGACCTAAGGATTAGTCGTTCTGATGGCATACCAAATAAATGTTTGATGTTTTAGACTCATTCAATTAACATCTTATAAACACTTATATGTATGCTAGGAACCTTTAAAGTGAGCGTTTCAATAGAAAGTTTATTACTAAACCTGAAAATACCTGGAAATCTGAGGGAATAATATCATTACTCAGGAAATTACTAAGGATATTCCAAAGAAAATAATGCATTTTAATTCCTGGCTATTTTCATTCACTCATTGAACTTTATAGCCCCTTTATGGCTCTAGAATATTCATTTTTCCAACAAATTTGATAAATTCTGAACTGAGTCAAATTCCTTGCAAAGTTTTAAGGCTCATGGAATTTTGAATAGAACTTCAAGAAACCCGGAATTGAATTCAATTTAAATTTTAATGAAAATTCATAGCAATTTCTCCTCCTCTGAACTTCAGAGCAAAATTTCAAGGCATTCTGAGGATAATTAAATGAAGTTTGTTTAAGAAAATGAAATCGGAGCATAATTCCTCGTATTTTTTTAGTGAATACTTAGGTGGTAAAGTGGATGCTAAAAGCATGATGACAATTAAATGTGAGAATAACTCCAGAGATCTTCAAAGAAATTCGAAAAATAATTCCAGGAGAGATTGCCAAGCAAATTAAGGGGAGAAATCTAAGGTATTTGTGAGGAGACATGAAAATGAATTTTTACGAAACTTTCAATGTGAATAGAATTCCAAGGAAAGGAGTGAGATTTAAATGGAAATCTGAAATGAATTCGATGCAAAATCTGAGAATTTTTCCATAAAATTTTCAAGGCAATTCCTAGGAAAATTAAAAAATCTGAAATCGGAGGATAGTTTCAACGACATTCAGAGGAATATTTCAATAAAATTGCGAGAAGTATTCTAACTATATTCTTGTGATATTTGTGTTAGAGTGTTTGCGAGTAACATAAATAATAAAGGATGCAGCCAGCCGAAAACGCACCTGCTGGGTTTTAGGTACTCCAAGGTGCTACCATTCGATTGAGTGTTAGTGGCTAGTGGTAGTGAACCGGTTCGCCGCGGTAACTCACTATTGACTAGGAGTTGCACGGAGCGGGAGAGAGATCGTCGTCGTACAGTGTGGGAGTAGTAATAGGTAATAGAAATGTAAACATTAGGAAATTAGTAGTCGACCGGGGGCGAACCCCGTACGAAATTATTGTTTAGTTTTTAGTAAGAATAAATGTAGTGTTGTTGTAAATAAAAACAATGTTGTGCTTTTGTAAAATAAACGGTATTTTGTGAAAAAGGGCGTAGTGTTCTGTATGCGGTGAAGGAAGGTCTGCGGACGACAGAAGGATTTGGTCGAGGAAAGGATACAGATTCTAAAAGGAAGGAAGGAAGGGATACGTTCACCGAGCAAGTAGAAGTCACCATCAAACGGTCGGGACGGTCCCCGACATAAATTGGTCCTTCGAACCGGATTTCTACTGCCGGTGGATTTTGGATCGGCCAAATCTCTACGATTTGACCAAGGTACGATCGAAGTGCGCCATCGTACGAGCACCAAACTGCCAGCCTCGTATGCCACAAAAGACCAATCGCCATCCTTGAAGTGGATCAAAGGATTCGATCGCCATCGTCAATTACGTGAAAGGATCTATTGCAACCAAACAACATCACCTATTATCCTACATCGGGAAACCCACCATCGCTAAAAATCATCGACTAGTTGTGGAACAGAGAGGAAGGTTGCCATCGTCCTTCAACATAATCGTCTAGTGCAACCAGTTTCCACAAGTGGATATTGGCTCTACTCGGTCACTTTCGACGATCATCAGGATTGTAGGACAACCAGAGCGTTGTTCTGCTACCACTCAGGTATGTAAGAACTGGTATATGTCCGCGACACAATTTCCCAACTAACACCCACATTTCGACTTCTGTTATTGTTGGCGAATCGGCGAGTGCTTACGGACGTCGAAGTGGTGAATCGGTTCGCGAAGAACTTGGTTCCGGGCACCATTCGAGGAATTCGGTGGCGATTGTGGACGGTCGATGACGATTCTGGTGCTACTTCCTTATGACCAGACAATAGACGGCATCACATCACGCTTTCAGGCTCGGGCATCGTGCAACGGTCATCTTGGCCAGGTAAATACATATATACAATATATGCCCGGCTGAAGCTGGAATTTATTGATCCTACACCTAATAAATATTCAACCTTTCGATGCTATTTGGACTATTTGAGTCAATTCATTCACGAACGCAAGCCCTGAGGTTTTGTTTTGTTTTCGGACTGCTACTTTACATACTGCGTGACGTTCAGCACCATCTGTAGTTCTCCAGGTGAGAATAAGTATATGTCCTGCCGACGCAGGCTCTCTTGTGATACTACATTGGTACATTTCTCCTTCGCTGCACTGGATTTCGATACGATCTACCGAATTGTTACCGTAAGGCTTTACATCTTCGTGGTTCGAAAGGATAGTTATCGTGATTTTGAGGCAATTTGGATTCGGCTGTCAGCACAAACTGTCGTTTGTACAGGTAAGCCGAACGGTATATGTTCAGCCGAAGCTCAAATATTGGTTACTACATTCGCTTTTCCACTCCTTCGCTCTTCACTGGCTCGAATTGGACTACCGAGCTTCCCGATCAAACGTTTTGAGGTGTACAGTTTTGGAATTTACTACTATCTGGCTTCGGTAGCACCACTGGTTCTTCTCACAGGTGAGTTGAACAGTATATGTCCAGCCGAAGCAGACAATTTGCATACTACATCGCCGATTCCTTTCGATTCTCGGATCTTTCAACGTTTCGCCAAACATCTCGTGGAGCAACGCATCACTAGTACCTACCAACCTACGACTGGCTCTTGTTTCTTCGTTACCGTACCGTGATTCTCCAACAACAACCATGTCAACGAAGATTACCAGGTCAACCGACTCCTTGAAGGTGTTGAAGTCAAAACTCAAGGGTCTTCGAGCGTCGTTAAACAACATTAGTCAGTTCGTTAGGTATTATAAGGAGGGTACAACAGCTAGTCAGGTCAATGTCCGCCTTGAACGTATAGATTTGATGTGGGAGCAAATTAGTGAGACTTCTTGGGAGATCGAATCGCATGAGGACTACGAAGAGCAAGAAGGTGTCGAAAAGGAGCACCTGGAGTTCGAGAATCGCTACTACGATGCGAAATCGTTCTTGATGGAGAAGGCCATGAAGTTCCAGGAAGAATCAGCACTAAATCAGTCAACACGGAGTGCGGACGCCGCCAGT